CAAACTCCACGCTTTATCTGCATAAAGTTTTAAAAATTGCACTACAACTTTTTAAAGTATGTTTTAGTTTATTTTATTTTAGCGCTCTACCGCCGAAGGCTTCTTGAACTTGCAGTAAGCCTTAAACTTAATTATTTACAAAGGGCCCCAAAACGTTTTTACTGCCAGCACAGCTGCAGCACGGAGAGAAACATAAAATTTATTAGCTGAAAAAAGAATTTTCGGTGAACATTTTTGCAAAGCTGAATTTAGCAACGAAAAATTATTACAAGTTTGCATGCATTATGGGTCTACGGCTGCCTCTATCTGAAGTGGAGCAGCTGCAGCTTAAATTACAGTAGTTACTACAGGTATAAGCTCGTAGTTGTTATTGTTTGGATGTCTGGCAAGCGACAGTAACGAGCCGCAGGCTCATGCTGCCACACATATATAATCCGCACCTGTTCTATGTACCATAGTATAGTGTATCCATATTTTCATTATATATATAATTTGGCCGCATGTTTTGCCAGCTCGTGTTGCCCGCATTGTTGACACAATTCTTGGGTTTTCAGCTATGGCAGCAGGACCGGTCAGCCGCAGCTCTATTAATTTTTGTTAGTTCTTCTGGCTTAGTCGACGCCCCAGAGTATGCAACAGCAATTCTGCGTGGAGGCGTATGGATTAGTGGGGTGGGACAAAAGGCCGAGTTGGCCTTTGAATTTATATTTAACTTTTGCTGTGCAAATTTAATGAACGCCGCTGCTTAATTATTCCATTTCAGGCAAGTTTATTCCTACACGCGCGTTTTTATGCCGCAATTGAAATTTTTAATTGGCAAATGCGTGGGCGCGTCCACAATCCACTCACCGTCTCTGGAGTCGGTGGGGTGCGAGCGGAGGACGCTGTGCGTCGTCTGGCAGCGCTTTGCGGCATTTTAATTACAAGCTCCGGACGCAAACGTGAAACGCTAATGAAATTAAAAAGTCCCTCAAATGGCATTATAATAAAATTGAGTTGTTATACATCTACAAAACGCCAAAGATTAAATATGGCCGGCTTTTGGGATTTATTGCCAAACGAGCACCAATCAACCTAATTCTGGCTCAATATTCAATATTAGGCAAACGCAGGGCCTGCCTACCTATTAACTCGTACGTGCTGCGGTTGCATGCCCATAACATCTAATTAATTGGCATTTACGTTTTGGCTTTAATACAATTATTTGACCATAATTATAATTAGTGGCATTTCACACTTGCTTATTTAATTGTGGTTTACCTAACTAGCTATTAACGTTTACTACTTGTAGTTGCACTCACGCTGCGTATACGCAATGTATGATGCATTACTTTGTCTGTGAAATTTCAATATTTTTCGCATAGAGTAAAATGTCATAAATATTTTTTATTTAAATTACACATGAATTTCTTTTCAATTTATGGCAAACAAACCCAATCACTCATATCTATACACATATATGAAAGAATGCCGACTCGTATACGTACGTAACTGTCGGGATACTCGAATTTATTACTTTACATTTAATCCGTTTAAGCGAGGGTTAGTCAGAGAGTTCACAGTTTCTTATTATTATTGAGTAATTTATAGACTAAGTACAAAGTTATATAACTACTGTTCGTCTGCAGATTGAACCTTTGATTAACATATAAAAATAGTTATTTTTAATTACAAATAGGTTTGTTGGTTGCATATAAAATAGCACATATCTTTACGATTAACCCTCTTATTGCTAAGCGCAGCTAGCGGTAAGCGTTCATAAAATATGCATACGTTTTAGATTTATTTTGTGTATGGCGATTATAATGCAAATTCAAGCACTTTTGACAGCAGTCCAAACATGTTTTCCGAATGAGTCTTGTTGTGGCCAGCACAGAAACAGAATATTTATATGTTAAATCTTTTTGCTTTTAGGACAACGCAATCACAATGGTTACCACAAACATAAAAATAAATAAAAAATCACCATAAATAATAAAATCACAACTGACGAGCTGCGGATTCGCTGTGGGTATCAAGTTTTATCCGCATCGGCATCGACATGGACGCTGGCTCCCTGGGCGCTTACCTAAATCATAACCCGACCAAAGCGTCCAATAAACACAAACAAATTGACACTCCCGATGCTTGGGGAAATCAGCGACAGCGACAAACACGAAATGGCCGCACGCAGTCGTCGCAGCTCCATCAGAGGGATTAGCACGATATTGCAATATAACAAACTGGCATTGTATGACATGGAATGGTATGGCAGTCTGGCATATTATGTAATTATTTTTTATAAATCATGCGCAATGCAATCACAAACCAATTAGCATTAAAATCGGCTAAAGGAATACGCCCCAATATTTGTACATTAGTACAACCAAACTTTGCTATTTGTGAAATCAAATTTTCGTCCAAAAATGTGGCAGCGCGCTTAATTTGGAAATTGTGCAACTGCCAAATCGATGTACGAAACGGGGAAACTTTTTCAGCACCTGCAATATGGCTATAGGCGCATTACGTATACGTGCCGTTGCACTGGATTGCCTGTCAGAGTTGCCTTTCAATCTGCGCACTTCATTAGCGAAATGGCTAGCTTTAAGCAAAGTTTATACATGCTACCCACATTAGAGAACACGCCGCTTGTTGTCCCGATAGGCAAATGCGTGGCTCCATTAATAATTCATGCAGCGAAATGAAAATGAAAAGCATGAACAGTTTGAAATAAGACAAGTTGTTCAGCCGCAGGTGAGACAATAAAACGTACAATTTTAATGAAGCTAACTCGTAAGCAAGACTGATCAATCAGACTGAATAGGTACTAGACTTATTAGGGACTAGACTAAATGAGACACATAATTAAATATTTCAACTCATTTTACACTTATTATTTTATTTCTACGCGCATCGCAATACTGAATTCAGACTCTCTCCATACAAGGTTAACCGAGAAACTTTTTCGCACCGCTGTAACTGTCACCAGCAGCTGTCTACCCACAATAGTGAAATGCGAAGTGGCGAATGGGCTCCCAAGAGCCTCTCCGATTGGTCAAGAGCTCTTCTGTAGAACCTGCTGGTACTCTAGCAAGCTCCTCTGACTGGCTAAAGAACAACCTTTTAAGCTTGTAGCCTCCAATACCTCTCTAGCCTAAGTATCCCCACCCCCTTTCTTTTACTTTCGAAAATGTATGCAATAATTTTGAACATTTATTAGTATTCAATTTCATTAATTAAACACCTGACATATAATATTAGGCCCTTGAGTAAATAGAAATCAATGGTCTGTCCTCGATGTTTACCTTAACGAACATTTATTTCGTTTTACAGCACTGTAAAATCCATGCACTTCGCACATAAAAGCTGCAAAAGTCCACTTTCCACACTTAAAGCGTATTTAAGTTGCGCTCAAATTGCTTCTGCCAGAGTTAGACCAAACAGAATAATGCTGGGCATGGTCAGTGGTGTGTGAGTGTCAGTGGGTCAGTGGTGCGGTTCGATCATAAAGTTGCCAATGCAATGCAAACAAATTGAAAATTGCCAGCTACCAATTGCCAGTTGCCAGTTGCAATTATAAACGCGGCCATTTGCCAATAGATACGCCATCACGTTTGTTGTTGTTTTAGTTGTTGTTGCAGTTGCTCCTGCTGCTGTGCTTGTTGTTGTTGTTGTTGTTGTTGTTGTTGTTGTAGGTGCGTTAAAGTTTTTGCTTTCGCTGGCTAACTTGAGGGAACTTGCTACTAAAGCAGAGCACACCAAACTTTGCTAATAGCAGCAAACGTAACGAGTGTGTGTGGGTGTGTATATGTGGGTGGTTGTGTGTATCTAAGCAGTGCGTGTGTGTTGTTTGTGTGTGAGTTAGCACAGTCAACTCAATGAAGCCAAAACAAATATAGGAAAAAGTTTTCCAATTTTCGATTGCCAATTGTGCAAAAATTTTACGTGCAACTTGCTTGGGGAATACGAGAATACGAGAATGCGAGAAAACGAGAAAGTTTTCTGCCATTTCGATATGTGTATGCCCCGGCATTTTGCCGCTGCCCAACGCTCTGTTCATTTGTGTATTAGTCAACTGACAGGACGTCAGTCAACATTGCATTCAACCAAAATTAAAAGTAAAACTAATTATTGAAAATATGTATATAAAATATATTATAATTGCCAGCAGCTAAAAGAAAAAACATTTTTTTTAACTCTAGGGCTGAATTACATATCAACTGACAAATAAATTTCATTTTTTTCCACTTTTAATATATATATATATTTTTTTTTGTTTTGTCAGTTTTTTATTCGGTTTCGCATTGTCGGTGCAGGCGCCGGCTTTAACTTTCGCTTTGACGGCAAACTTTTGCTTTTCATGCTACAACTAGCTGGCAAAAGTTTTGCTAACGTAGCGAAGCAAAGTTTTAGCACTTCAAGTGCAAGCGCCACTGCCACACGCTGGCCCGTTGCCTCTCTCTCACCCTTTCTTCCCTTGTGCTTCCGTCCTTTTCACACACAATACTTGCATAAAAGTTGTACCAAGTTTTCACTTGGCTCACATTTGATTTAGTCGTTGCCTTGATGTCCATTTTATTTTGCGACTGATTCTGCAATTATGAACGAGCATGTGGCAGTTGGCAAATGTACTCAAGTTGACTATAAAACAACTAAGGCAACATATAATCCCCAAACTGGGTATGCTCGACCATAAGTTGCCCTCTAGACAGAATTTACAATCTATGTTGAATAATGCAATGCAAATATTGAAAAAGAACTGTTGAGAATTTGCTAGCAAAAATATTGTTGAATTTATCTGCTCGTACACAGTTTATACAACAGCAAAATATATATAACCATTATTAAAATAATTTAAAATATTTAAACTAACAGTATATTCTTAGTAGGGCATTGATAATTTTCCGATTGGTTACATGCGAGTTAAACATAAACTTGATCTGCTTTTGGTATAAATTTATTTAGCATTTCTCACTCCACAGAAATCCGAAATCGATATGCTTGAATAAACAGATAAACGATTACATAGATATAAAATGTGAACATATGTATATTTCGTGTCAGGTGAGAGGTGCATTTTTTGTCTGCTGGATATACATATTTGACAGCTTTATCTATCTCTACAGCTGCAGGGTATATATATATATATATATATATATATATATACATATGCAAGTAGTTATGCTCATGCTTGTACGAGTGATGTCTGCACTTTAAAGTTGCCATACATAAGTGTTTGTAATACGCTCGTTACATTTATTATGGAGTGCGCTGCTCGGCTACCGAACAATGCAGCTTTCGCCCGTTAGTTGTCTGGGTGGTAAATATAAGGATCACAGTTTTGGGCAGTAACTGCGCAGACTTTGCAGCTGGCATTTGAATGGGGGGCGCACATGACATTCGACACAATTCCCCAACGCAGAGCACGTTGCCCATAGCATACTTATCCGGGCAGCAGCAGCACCAACAGCAGCCGGTGGCAACTATCTGTAACTGGAGGCGGGCTGCAGTAAATGCATATTTTATATTTTCATTTCATTGAAACCGACACGTAGCCACATTTACGTTGGTGTGTCTGTGGTGTTCACTATGTTTCCGGTTGTTGTTGGTCTGGCACGCCGGCAATCGAGTAAAGTGTAAATTCGCATTGGAGTTGCCTGCCAGCTAATAAGATCCAATATTCAATGTATATGTCTTTTGACTGGCATTATACTGTTCAATTTTAATTAAGTTAGAGATTTCAACAGAAGCGACACTTGATTGCCGGCGGACAGTTTTTAATTGCATGTTGACATACTTTCGTTCAAGTTGATGATTTCCATATTGAAACTTTTTGAAGAGCAGCTCCAAAAACTCTGTCGTTCCTCTTAAGTGCATTTTAACCAAAGTGCACACAACGTTAACCCAGCTCGCCTCGCCTGTAGACTTGAAATAAACGGTTATTTTCAGAAGCTGAATATTTAAGGCATATGCATACACATATATTTACACTTATATAAATATATATAGTATACATATATATATATATATGTATGTAAAGAAGCATATGTATGAATATATGGCAGTGATGTGTTTTTTATGCCCACACGGCGGCTGTGCAATAAAATTGCACTAGTCGTGGCTTATCAAACGAGCAGCATTGAGTTTGCCTTATGATGCCCTCGAGAAGTCGCCAAAAAGTGTGCAGCTAAAGTTTATATTTACGCTTCGCCCGTCACTGAAATATTGCACTTTATATATCATCTGGGATATCTAGAGCATACAAAAAATTTAAAAAAAAAAAATAATAAACAAAAAAAATAAGAAGCGCATTCTATCGAGAGTTAGTATACCCTATGTGTTATTTTGCAACTTTAAGCTGGCTTTCAACTGAGCAAATATTTAGATTTTATTAAATCAATAAAACATGGCTGTTATTGCATTTCAGGAAGGCCTCTAATGTAATAAATAACAATTATTTCCTTTAACTGTAACCAGCCACAATAAAATCCTAATAAAATCGTTGCTTTCAGGATACCTTCGGGAAGTCGCTGACCATTCCCAGCTATGAGCAGGGGCATAGCTAGCCGGACAGGCTGAAAAATTTTCCCCCACCGGGTCGGTGATTTCCCATTACTTTTCTCTTTGTCCTATCCACTTAACACTCTTTATCTAACTTACATTGCTTTACTTTATTAACAATTTTCTTACTTTCTTTTTTCCTATTTATTGTATTTTCTTTATTAATTTAGCAAATTAAGATTATTTTTAATTTCACTTGAGATCACTTTTTTCCTACTTACAACCTTCTGCTTAGATGTAGGCTCTAATAGCGTCACTGACAAAATTAGCTGTGAAAAGGGGCACAGCTGGCCGGACTGGCAAATAAAACACCTCCATCGGTCGGTGATGCTATTTAGAAAATTGTATCCTTTAACTAGGCTTTTAGAATATACTTATATTGTACAACCTTTTGAATAATGAGGAAGACACTCGTTTTGTCGACCATTAATAAATAAATATAAATATAAATAATAAAAAAAAAAAAAAAAAAAAAAAAAAAAAAAAAAAAAAAAAAAAAAAATAAAATTAAGTATTGCTTTCTGTATTGAAATGTATTTACAAATTTTAATCTTAAACATATTTAATGAAATATCTTTACATTTTGAAGAAAACTTCACAAACAAAATTCTTTTTTCATTAGTTGCCAAATGTCAGAAATTTAATCAAACCTGATCGGATTTATTCTGTTCCCTTCTAACATTTTTGATGCAAGTGACGAAAAAGAAAATGCAACTTGGTTTTAAGATGTCGCTCCAGAGTAAGAGTAAACGGCTGGCTAGTGGACTATACATATAGAAATATGTGCTATACCCTTTACTTTAGGCACCGAAATGAGCCGCTTTACGAACCAGGGCAAGTATATTGCCAACTGGTTACATATAAGACACAAAAGAACGGCGCAAACTTTTGACTGCCCTGGCACTCCCTCTGTGCCGTGCTACCCCCTCCCCTTATTTGCCCACAGATCGTGCTTACCCATTCCGCATGGTGGTCGCATTTGTCTACTATTTGGCTACACCGCAGAAGTGCCTCGGTCCGGATTTGATATCTGCACGTTGCTGTAGCTCGATTTTTGCTGATTTGCTTTTTGCTGGCTTCTACGAGTATTTGGTTTATTGTTTAGACGACAAATTGCAAGGATTCCGTTTTGTTTCACTGCGCTGCATCCGTGTACGTGTCCTGTACGGCAAAAGTGCCTGATTAAACTCGGGTAGCCAAAGTTCGCTTCCATTGTCAATTTGCGGAGTAAAAAAGAATTCGATTTCTGTAACGATGACATGATATCCTTTTCGAAGTCTACAGAATGCAAATGGGGTAAATTTTATATGTCATGGTAGTTAGCTCAGTTAGTTGACATGTTTGTTGAACGTGAGTCTTTCTGGCTTAAAATCAAAGAAATACATTTCTCTGCTATTTTATAGTACAGACTAGTCAGTGGAAGGGAGAGAGAAAGAGAGAGAGAGAGAGAGAGTGAGAGGGTCAAAGTACGTTCTCAAAATTCAATAAATATAAATAAATAAATTTATGTATGTAGTTGCATATGTCCTAGAACTACTAAATATGTGTGAGTATGTAAAGAAGTATGCTTGTATGTATGTATATTTTTATGCATGTTTATATAAAAGAATTTATGTATTTTGGCATGTAAATATGCATGATGGTATATATGTATCCATTTATAAATGTAAATGAATTTATGCAAATATTTTGTATGTTTATATGCAAGATCATGTTTACTTTTAGCAGCGCAGTAAAAAAGTATTCTCAACAAATGGCCTTCTACGCAATTCTCATGAAAGGAGGCGACGTCTTTGATATTGGAGGAGACAACTTCAACTATAGAGAAAACCGCGGCCTTAATATAAGAGAAGGCGGCTTCAGCAATGGAGGAGGTGGCAGCTTGAGCAATGGAGGAAACGAAGGTTTTTATATTATAGACCTCAACTATGGAGGAGGACTTAAATTCAGCAATGAAGGAGGAAACGGACTGAGCAAAGAAGGAGGTGAACGCTTGTATATATAAATATCCTATACAGATTGACACACTGATTGCACTCACTTGTAGCAATGCAGTTTAATTAGCAAACAAGCAACCGCCGGTATTTGGTCACCTAATCAACAGCTGGTCAGAGCTAATTTACCACTTTATTTGCCTAAATTGTGCACCCAAGTCACGTTATTGTTGTCAGCCACATTAGTGGACTTGCAACTAATTCAATTTGTTTCCACTAAGCTGGCTGCTGTTGCCATCGAGGGGCTTTTTATAAAGCTCAAGCAGAATTTAGAAAAATGTTCCAAATTAGTAAAGAAATTTTCGGTTTGAAAACTTAGACCTCAAGAAAAAACAATTTTGAAAGTTTTTGGTTAGTAATTTGCATAAAAGTTTGGTATGTGTTCAGTTAACTAAGTGCAAATTTCTATATGTGCTTCATACGATGCACAAACAGTTGCCACATTTGCGCTGCATTAAAAACGCATTTTCATCTTCTTCGTCAGCAGGTTTAATAGTCTGTGCAACAATGTGCATGGCGCTTGCTTGCGGTCGTGAGCACAGGAGCAAATTCAGAAGGAAGCGGCCCAAATGTTTACAGTTTCAGACAAAGAGATGCTCGTATATTTACTTAAGATACTATTACCAAATACGAATATGTCAAATAATACAATCAATCTTTTTTGGCTTCCCAAAACGCATCACAGCAAGCCTTGAAAATTGTTGCTGGCCAAATATTAATTGAGATATCAGAAATTGCCCATCACCAATAAGACACCAAAATGAGCCAAAAACCGCAATCAGTGCAGCAATTATCCCCTAATAAGTCACTAAACAGTAGTCGCGAATCAAGTAAACGGAAGAGGATCATTCAAACCAACTCCTTGCCCAATTGCAACCGAAAGACAGAGAGCAAGGCCGGTAAGTACTTTTATACACCAGTGGTCAACTGCTTAGAAGGTCGCAGAAATAAAACCAGTTCAGCCATTGGAGCCTCCACCCCCAAAACGATCATGCCGCAGAATTTCCCAAATTACGAAGACGTCTTCGAGCAACCCCAAGAGCCTTGAGAACGATGTCAACCAAAAGAAAAGGTGCGCATCTAAAATCGATTCAACTGATCAGCAGCCGAGAAATAAAGCTGGTAAGTAATTGTATTTACCTTTTTCCATATAAGATTAACCGGAAACTCTAGAGCCTCAGCCAACGAAGCCTCAATCGTCAAAAGTTCTGCCGCCTGATGCGCCGACACTAAAACGATCATGTCGAATAATAGCTCACTCTACAAAGTCATCTTCAAACAACACTAAAAATCTTAAGAATGATGTCAAAGAAGATTCAACTAATCGGCTACCAGGAAATAAAGCTGGTAGGTTGTTTTGTCCGTCTTTGCCCGAATTAGTACGAACCACCAGAGCTTTAATCCTCAGGAGAGCAGCCAGTACAGCCCCCACTACCAAAAAGATCATACCGCAGAATAACGAAGAAGTCTTCAAACGAGACTCATAACCTTCGGAATGATAACAACCAAAAGAAGAAACCCGTATCCAAAGACGATCTAGCTGATCAACAGGCGGGAAATAAAGCAGGTAAGTACTTGCAACTATCTTTGTCGGAATAAATAATAACCGGAAACTTCAGCACCAAAGCCGCCGGAGCTTCAATCGTCAGATGTTCAACAACTAGAACCGCCACCACCGAAACGATCATGTCGCAGAACTTGCCCACTTACAAAGACATCTTCGACGAAAGCCAAGAGCCTTCAGAACGATGACAATCAAAAGAAAAAGGGTGACTCCAAAGACAATTTAGCTGATCAGCTACCCGGGAATAAAGCCGGTATGTGGTATTGTCTATAATTTTTCGATTTATTATCAACCGCCAGCGATTCCATCGTCAGGAGCTCCACCACCAAAACGATCATGTCGCAAAACGGCACACCATACGAATTCAGCTGATCAGCAGCCGGGGAATAAAACCGGTAAGTTCTTCTATTTATCTTTACCCAAATTAGTATAAACCGGAAGCTGTAGAGCCTCCACCAGCAAAACGATCATATCGCAGAATATCACATCCGCGGCAGAAGACTTCTAACAAACAAGAGAAAAGGTACGAATCCAAAGACGATTCAGCTGACCAACAGCCAGAGAAAAAAGCCGGTAAGTACTTGCATTAATCTTTGTCCGAATGAGTACTCAGCGGAAGTTTCAGGGCCTCAAGAACAGCAGCAGTCCTTAGGAGTTCAACCAGCAAAGCAATGCAATCGAAAAACATCGCAGCCAAAGCAGGCGTCGTTTACCGACGCTAAAAGCCTTCAGATCGCTGAGAGTAAACAAAAAAGACGTGAGACGATAGACGTTTCAACTGATCGTCAGCTGGGAAATAAGGCCGGCAAGTAAATGTATCTAGATTTAAGCGAATAACTAACAATACGAAGATTTCAGGACCTCAACCGCCAGAGCATCAACCTTTAAATGTTCAAGCCCAAGAAGTTCAAACAGCAACACGTTCATATCATAGATCATCGCAACTGACGTCAAAGTCTTCATACGAGAGTAAAAGCATTCAGAAGGATGATATCCAAAAGAAAAAGTGTGAGGCAATAGACTTGTCGACTAAGAACCAACCGGAGTCTTTACGACCTCAACCACTAGGGCATCAATCGCCAAAAGTTCATCCACCAAAAGTTCAAACACCAAATTGGGCATATCGCAAACCATCGCAGTTGACGACGTCTTTACACGACAGCAAGAGCATTCAGAAGAATGATAACCAAACAAAAAGGCGCGAAACAATAGATATTTCAACAGCCCAGCAGCCGAAGAATAAGGCAGGTATGTACATATATCTGGCCGTGTACAAATAAGTAACAACAGGAAGATTTCAGTATCTCAAACACTTCGGCTTCAGACTATAGCAGCTGAATCACCGGAAGTTCAAACACCCAAACGCTTATATCGCAGATCATCGCAGTCGACGTCGATGTCGTTGCACGACCAAACGGATGATATCCTAAAGAAGAGGCGTGAAACCATAGACGTTTCACCTGCTCAGCAGCCGTGTAATAAGGCCGGTAAGAAGCTGTTTTTACCTTAATCCGAGTAAACGCCAGGTCTTCAATCTCTAGGAACTCGGAATCTCCCAAATCGCAGACCATCACAGTATACGCCGACGACGCTGAACAATACTCCAAACCTTCAAAACGATAACAGCCGAAGCAAAAGATGCGAATCCATAGACTTGTCAGCTGATCATCAGCCGGGAATGAATGCCGGTCAGTACTTGTTCTGTCATTGCCAGATTGAGTAACAACAGCGACTGCTTAAATATCTAGGAGTAAATCAAATGTCAAAACTTCCATCGCATGGACCTCAACCCACAGTGCACCCACTTCGCAGAACATCGCAGTATACTCCGACTCCGTTATACGAAAACGAACGCTTTGAAAACAATGACAGACGAAAGCAAAGGCGCGAATCCATAGAGGTTTCCAATGTTCATCATTCAGGAAATACTGCCGGTGAGTCCTATTTTTTCATTAGTCAGAATAAGCAACAACAAGTGCATTGCAGGACCCCAACCACCAGAGCCTCAGCTTCTAGGAGTTCAAACGCCAGCACTTCAACCCCTTAGTCGTCCATATCGCAGACCGTCGCTGTATCTGCCAACGTCACACCTTGGGGTTCCAGGAACAGAATCGGAAGGTCTTCCAGCAATAGGAGCTCAAGCGCCAAGATCACAAACACCAAGTCGCCCATGTCGCAGACTTTCGCAATACAAACCGATGTCGATGAATGTGGATGAAAACACTCAAAACGATATCTACCGGCAGCAATGGCATGAATCCAAAGACGTTGCTAAGGTTCATCATCCGGAAACTATTGCCGGTGAGTACGTGTTCAATCTTTCACAGAATATGTCAAATAGGAATATGCAGAACCACCGCAACCACCAAGTCTACAATCTCTAGGAGCTCAAGTGCCATTACTTCAAACTCCAACTCGTCCATATCGCAGATCATCGCTGTATTTGACAACATCACAGCTTGAGGATCAAAGCTCACAAAACAATGAAAGGCGAAACCAAAGGTGCGATTCGATTGACTATACCAATATTAATCATGCGGGAAATATAACCGGTGAGTACTTGCTTCACCTTAGCCAGAAAAAATTTAACTAACGGAATTGCAGCAACCCAACCGCAAGGGCTTCAATCCCTAGATTCTCAAGAACTTCAAATACCAAGTCGCCCATGTCGCAGGCGTTCGCAGTACACGCCGACGCCGCCGTATGCGGATCAAGTTCCTCAAATCGATATCAACCGACAGGAAAAACGTGGTTCCTTAGACATTTCCACTGTTCACCATCCGGAAAATATAGCTGGTGAGTTATCGTCCTACGTTTGCTTGAATAATGTGCAATTAAAATATTGTAGTGCCCCAACCGCTTCAATCAGGAGGAGTTCAGTCGGGGACTTCGATCAATCCACCTCAATTGTCAGAGCTTCAACCCCCAAGACGTCCATATCGCAGACCATCGCTATTCGCCCAGACGTCACCATATGAGCCTAAAAGTTCTCAAAACGAGGACATGCGAAAGGAAAAGTGCGAACTAATCGACTTGACTGGTGCTCAACAGCACGAAATTAAGACGGGTAAGTAATTTATCTTCCTCTCTCTGAATAGATATAAAAATAAATTAAGAACCCGAACCACCGGATCATCAAATACCGAGACGCCCATATCGCCCACCAATGCAGTCTGTGTCGGCATCGGATTTGCAGTCTAAGTTTCTTCTATACATACGGGATTTGAGTTCAGAGATTGTCCACCACCAGGTCTTCGAGCATTTCTGCGCCTTCGGCAGTTTGCATCGCGTCTACGTACTGCAACGAACCGAGAACTACAATTACGCACTAATAATCTTCACATCCAGCAAGTCCGTAGAGCTGGCTGTGGCCGCTAATCCACACAATCTACGGAACAAACACTATTTTTGCCACAAGGCTGGACCCTGGAACCTTGGTTGCTTCAAAAGCGAGCGGTGCATATCTGACTTCAGCAATAGCAAAAGATCCATCTTCAGAGATCGACTGCAGATCCGGGTGCCTTATGGCGTTAATATTCATTGCTATATTTACCAATCAAATGCCAGCACGAATCAGGCCAACAACAGCACTGAGCAGGAAATGAGCAAGAGATCAGCCTTGCTGCCGCAAGTGTCCATAGACCTGTTGCATCATCTACGCGAGGATCGGGCACCGCTGCAACCTAGCATCAAGCAAGCACCTCTTGATCTTGATCCACAAACGCTCTTCTCCAGCATGGGTGACAACTACAGTTTCCAGCGTCACAGTTACACGAATTTCGTGGCCTATCAAAAGCGACCTGGTCACTACGAAGCGGTGCCGGCCAACGCCAAAGTTGGACTAACGGCCATCGCCTATGCAGATCTGAGAGATAAACGTGATTTAATATCATTTTTTTATCAGACCGACTAACTAACTGATAGAAATAGTATTTAACAAATGCGAATGGCTTTCGTTTAAACTTGACTGCATTTTATACAGTTGGTCAAGAACCCCCTCTGCTACCCCTAATTAGGTAGAAATCGGATTGTTATAAATGGGTTCAAATGAATCTTAAAGAAAAAAGAAACACATGTAGTATTAATATTCTTCTCTCTGTGGATATATTGAATCTCATCGATTCCAGAAACAATAAGAAGCAGAGGAATATAGATTCTTATAGATTTGCGATTTAGATCGCGAAGACATAAATTGTAGTATTCAGATATTCGCAACGAATGCTCAATTCAGATATATTTCAAATTTTTGGAGGGGTTTCCCTTCATGGCATTGGGCCCATGCGGTCTGTTCCGCTCCTGTGCTTATGTGAGGCTTATGTATATGTGTAATGCTGATGGGGCTCGTTTGCCGTGCTGGCAAGTGAAACCATATAATTTGAGCATCATGTAGATGCACTTATCAGTGCGATGCTGTACTGCAATAGATAAACATCAGAAGGTAGGGGCAACTGCATTATACTGTGGCAAGCGCATTGCTGGAGCAAGTACAGCATTCGATATGGCACTTGCATACTTATGGCATCATCTCCATTGCACCATTGCTTATTAAAACAACCAATCGCTGTTCTTATGCTTTGTGGCCGCGGTACGCTCTAAGCGCGGGCATATCGAAAGTAGTGTGTGATTTTTGCAGTTAAGCCATTCACTTTGATTGCTTTTGGACAACGCGTCGTATGATTGTTTTTGCTGCACTTGCTGGGATTAGGGACTAGGGCGGCACTGAAGCACCGAAGCACTCAAGTGGAGCGTGCGAGTCGGATTGGACGTGGCAAAATTGATTTGTGCACGTGTGCAGTTAGCTAATGAGCCGAGCAGAGCTTTGCCCCAGGGTACGCTGTAGAACAACGCAGCTGCATACAGAACGCGTCACAAGACATTGCACAATTGCCGCTTGCAGCTGGAATCTGGTAGCTGACAGCTGAGAGCGTGCACAGGACAACTGACAGGATGGCATCAGCTGTTTGCACGGTTCGCTTAATTAACAACATAACAAATTGAACACAAACACACCTACACACGAGCATGTCATCAGGAGAAGTAAGCTTATTGTGAACATGTCACACCATTAGGTTTGTAACGCAAGGCTAATGACTAACTAGAAGGAGACGGAGCTCTAAAGGAGATAGTTTGATAGACAGACAGGAGATGAAGTTTCTAATAATTTAATTAAAAGATTTATTATGCTACAGCTAAAAGGTTAGCTTTAGCTTAAAGCCTACAGCATTATTTACTGATAAATTCTTGATTAACTCGCAGTTGGCCCTGTAGATTTTTTGGTTTAAGGCACAGCTTCATTTTGGCAGTTGAAAATAGTTGAATTAACTTAACTTATGCTTTCAATAAAATTAACCCTCTCCTACAAGCTCGACCAAAGTTCTACATAAAACTAACTCTATAGCTTTATGGCTTGTTTCGGCCATGCTTAGCAGGGTGAATGCAAATAACCCTATTTAAAGCTTAATCGTTGGCAAATCGACTCTTTCTTTTAAATGTATTTTTCATATGGATTGCAGGACAATGCAGCTGCTGTCATTGTGTCCTGATGGACAGGGCTCGCTTTGGTCAACGCCAAACGGTGCAGTCGTGCATCACAAATTGCTGTCAACAAAGTTAGTCAGTCTGCGGCCAGTCAATACTGGGCTAGGCAGGACGTCCGGTCCGCTAGTCGCTAGTGGACGCGCCCAGGATGTGCCGCTTAATGTGTTTGCCAAAGCCAAAGACATTCACGCAGTCATCAGACACATCCTTACATCCAAGTTTGTCTGTGTGTGCGTGTGTGTGTGTGTGTCTCATGATTGGAAAGTGTTTTGGGAAATCAGCGACAAATCGAAAACGAAATGAGTTTCTGTTAAATGTTAAATCACCAGCGTAAGAGTTGCTCTGATTACTCATTTGGGAGCGCTGAAATCGAAAATCAGAGAAACAAAATATGTCGATAATAGTTACGCACTTAAAGCTAAACGGGTAAAAAATTTAAGAATTCTATTAACAGCAACGAACTACAAATTAAAAATAAATATTTAATGCAAAATGTTTGCAATTTTATAAGTCACATAGTCGACTCATGCAAAATGCCAGTCCCAATGCTGCGTGGGTCTGTAAAGGGATACCAAAGAGATTTACAAATTTGCCAAAATGGCTAAGATTTATGTTGGCCAAAAGCGAGTGGGTCCCACAGCGTTTACAGTGCGTGCTGTTTGGAAAAGTTTTTTGGCAACATTTCAGCGGAATTTTCTCCCATTTTGCCAACTGAGCAGTGGAAATTAGCAGCTGTTCTGGCAGACACAAAAGTAACTATGTGTACTTTTTACCAAGGCCACCTGCTTCAAGTTGAAAACATATTTTGTTGTTGCTTCAGTGTGGCAGGCAACAGCTAATCTGTTAATTTATGTTGAAAAGTTCAGCAAGTTTTGAAGCGCTTAGTAAACAAAATGCAATAAATTATTAACACACTGCAGACAGATAGAGATGGACAGGGGCCGAAGGAGATAGAGACAGTGCAATAAAACGTTTACAGTTTTTGTGCATTTCATTAATTTATGTTTGTAAACTTAACGTATATATATGTGTGTGTGTGTGTGTTTGTGTGTGTGTTTATTTTTCAATGCTATTTGATTTCAACACTTGGCTGCAACAATAGAAAAAAATTGAGCCAGCCAAAAGGCAAAAGTCACACGAAAAAGATAAACAATCTCACCCAACAACCCAACCACTCAAATACCCACTCCTGGCAGCTCCTGGAGCCAGCTCCACGTCCCTGAAACGTGCGCAAGTCTAAAGTGGCTAACGAAAAGTTAAAATGTTCTTATGCATAAGTGATGCGACGTCTCATTCTTTTCATGGACTTACTCGCTTGCTCTGACTTCGACCTTTATGCTGGTCCCGGCTCTTGTCCTGTTCCTGGCGACAAAGCGCTCACGAAGTAGCCGCATTGCAGTTGTTTCTTTCCATTCCCGTTTCTCTTCAGCCCCGTTCATTTTTGGCTGCGGCATGAAAACTTAATGCCGTAATTAACTGTTTGCATTTGCGCTTAAAGGCCGCGACAGCAAATTAAACGGCTCGCATATCGCGTATACGCAGCGTGTGGCTTAAGCCGCAACTTCCACGACAACGAATCGCACTCGCAATCGCATGACCCACTTGCGGCTGCATCTCACGCCACCTCTTGGACCCAGTCTCGCCATTTAAGTTTACGCTTAAAGCCAAGCCAAAAAGAAAATGTTAAAGTGAGCCGTAAACTTTTTTTTTTAACATTATCAACACAAATCTGAAATGCCGCTGATTGCGCACAAACCGAAAACAAAGCAAGGCGATCAAATGAATCGTTATTCGACCAGAATATACCCTCACAGAAAAACTTTAAGACTTAGGTGTTCACAAGTTTGTGTGTTGAAATGCGACGATATTATTTTATCATACATTATTGGCCAAGGGGCCGAAAAGTTCAATCAACCAACAATTTTCACTGATTTCAATGTTACAAATTTATAAAGTTCACAATCCAATTGTTATACGACTATAGATACCACGCGTCTACACATTCACATTCATTTTTATACCCTGAACCCATTTAAAATGGGTATAAGGGTATATTGTATTTGTGCAAAACTCAAATGTATGTAACGGGCAGAAGGAAGCATCTCCGATCCCATAAAGTGTATATATTCTTGATCAGCACCAATATCCGAGTCGATGTCCGTCTGTCTGTCCGTCCGTCCGTCCGTATGTATGAACGCAAGGATCTCAGAACCTATAAGAGCTAAAGAATTTTAGATGTAGGTGTTCCTAGTGCCTGCGCAGATGGAGTTTATTTCCGATAGTCGATAACTTACTCCGTTTACAAGCAATCGATAAAAATCAATATCAATATTCTGTTTTTTGGGCAATTTTGGTAAATAATAAGAGCTAGAGTCACCAAACTTGATTTCTAAAATAGAATATTTATATGCATTTGATGTTGGAAGAAGAGGGCTCAGAGTATCCCCTAGTCGGGAGCTCCCGACTAGAACCATCCACTTGTTTTTTTTTTCCACTTTAAGAAATAAAGTTATACATTTTTTAAAATGAACCCCTATTTTCAAATGTCTTTTCGTTAGCTCGAACCCTAAACATTTACATATTCATAGTTTTTCTTCTTATGAATTATCTCTATTTCACTTGTCTTAAATTACACATATTAGTAATAGGCGGTAAGGTTTTCTATAATAATATAATAATTATTATGTATATTTGAAAGGAAATAATTCTGGAGTCCGAAACCTGCGCTTACTTATTAAAAACTCACATGAGCTTATGTTGCCCATTTCTTCAGCTATTGCCAAACTGTGTTAGCTGTTTGTGGCACATATCCGCGTGTCATAACGAGGCAACCAAATAGAGTGCCAATGGCATTTCGACTACCAGCCGTTCAGGAAATGGCTGTATAAACGTTTGAGTTCGAATTTCCCTTCTCACACAAATTAACTTTGATGACTTTGCGCAAACAGCAAGTTACAGGCGCGATTTCATTTCCGCCGCTTTAACGCGATTAAAAACGCTGAAATTGAAATATTTTGCACAGTTTTGGGACAAGGTCTTGTTCACTCTTCATTTTGGCCAACGTAATGAAATTGTCAATTGCAATTAGTGCGCTTAATGCACTTTTTGGATACAGCCATGTTTCATGCTTGCCTCCTCTAAATGTCTGTCTGTCAATCTGTCAGCCAGTCAGTTCCCTCCAACTGGCAACTGGCAAATGGCAACTGGCGCACTTACATGCCCTAAGCAGTTGTATGCAAGTGTTCAAGGACTCGTCAGGCGTCTTAGCCGGGCTAGTCCACTCAACTGTGCGCCACACTTGCTGCAGTTGCAGGTTTACAGACTGCGTACAGACTTAAGAGTCCTTTCATTGAGTGATGATACTTTAGTTTTGAAAATGAACATATATTGTGGCATTTTAATTGTCAAGTGTTTTGGCTTGGCTGCAAATTAAATATAAATATAAAAACAAAATTTAACATGAAATCGACTTAAGTAACAATAAGAGAAAACAATATGTTTAGCTTTAATGTAGTCAATAAATAATTAAAAGTGAATCAATATAATTTATATTGTATCAAAAGGCTGAGCGTGCCCAAGTTTATTTTTGCCGTTAACTAAACTTTTAATCGTATTAGTTGGACAAAAGAAACTTAACCCTAGCCTGAACAATATTTTTTTGAAACATTTATGTTTAATTCTGTATTCAAACTTGTAAAAGCTCTGAAAATTGAAATAAATATACTTTATAGAATTTCAAGATAAAAAATTGAATTGCTAGATGTAAAAACCTAGTTACGAACCATCTGAAATTTGTGTGCAGCTGGCACTCAAGATTATTGCACGCATTTCCTTAAGCTGGTCAATCTTGACTACCACCTAGTTGAACAATAAGGAATTTAAATTGTATATTAATTATATAATTTATTAAATTTCATTTAACAAGAATCAGTCGGAGATTTCAGTATTTAACTATAGTGCGTAGTTAGCTAAAGGGTAGAGTTCACCCGGAGGTACTTAGGTCCATTATGTTGCCCGATGCGTGCATAGTTTAATTCGCGCATTTATTTGCCCTGGCAGCACTTGGTGGGCGCTTTGCCGGCGCATTGGCATTGCTGGTTTCCGGCGCAGTTGCCGCCGCATTTGCCGGAAGTGCACTGGCAGTCTATAAGCAGGAATTCACTCATTAATATAATCCAATAATTGAACTATTTTATAAACTTCACTCACTATTTCCGCATCCTTTGCAAGGCATCTTTAGTTTATATTTTTTTATTTAGAACTTTCGTGAACAACTTCTTAGCTCAGCAATTGCTGTTTGTTTTCTATTGCTAAAAACTCGTCAAACAACACTTTTTATAGCCCATCGGCAGAGAGCTGATAAGATATAAAAGCCGTGTGCAGCTGTGTTCGTCAAGCGTGCGCAAAACTTATTGCACTGATAACACGCCGGCTACGCAATTTTGCGCACGCCTTGATAAGCCAGCCAATACGTATGCTTAATACTGTTTAATTGATTACAATTTGTTAAGCTACGCGTCCCGAATGGTGTGCAAAAGACCCTATAAAATCCCAGCACTGCTGAGTCAGTGGCAAAGTCAGCGAGTTAACATCGTGCTAAACACACTTCTACACACAGTTCATACTAAAAGTATATAAACAAAACATAAAATGGGTTGCAAAGCTTGTGGAACCAGTGAGTATAAACACAGACCGCATACTTGAGTTTGTGCACTATTAATTCAATTGGTTACTTGCCACACAGACTGCCAGTGCTCGGCCACCAAGTGCGGCGACAACTGCGCCTGCAGTCAGCAGTGCAACTGCGCCTGCAAGAATGGACCCAAGGAAAAGTGCTGCTCCACCAAGAATTGATTGAACACAAATTATAATTAATATTCGGCTACAGACTAATGAGAACATTAATAAACATCAAAATAATACTTTAACTAGCTTGACTTTGTTATTTTTCCTTGTCTAAACATATCTATTAAATGCTAACAAATCGGACTACAGATGACTGAAAATAGTTTGCATATATCAGCTTGCATACATCACAAATCAGCTTATTAATATAATCAATATTAATTATTATTATAATCAATATTACCAATGTTTATCAATACTATTAATAACAGGCAAGTTGTTCTTACTGACAAAATCGGGTAAAACAAGTTTCCATATAAAAATGTTTTTTTTTTTTTCAAATTCGGCATCCCAAATAAATTTATTCTTGTTTTATATATAAAGCAACAAATTTAGATGGCTTTCTTGAATATTATCAACAATTTGCACCAAAAAAGTAGCCCAGCGAAACGCTTTTGAATAATGTTTAAAATCAAATCTTTATTGGCCATTTTGACAAGAATAGTTCTTTAGTTCTTTCAACTCATATATTGCTTACATTTAATAAAAAAAACTCCATTCATAGCAATAAAGGTGCACATTTTCAATAATTTTTCCCAATTTAAGTGTGTGTCTCTGTGTATATATGTGTATATATTTATTTAGTTGTATGTATATTTGGGAGTATCTGTGTGTGTGTGTGTGTGTGTGTGTATGTGTGGGAATGTGCGCGCGACTTTTATATTTAAACATTAAAAATTGAAAGCTTCACACACATAAAGAGTTTGTCGTTGTTCAAATTGAATTTGCTTTAACAGCTGCACAAAAATGTGTAATTAACTTCATTTTTCATATCATTTATATATATATATAGATATATATATATATATATATATTGTATGTATATATTTATTGATTAAGTTGGATTACTTAAAAGTATTATAAAATTCTTACAGTTCACAATGAAAGCTTAGTTGTTTACACAAAAAATAGTTATCATATCATTTTTATTATCCTCCTCCTGCTCCTCCCCATCATCATCATCATCATCACGATCTCTCTTTTGTTTATCCTTTTGTGCTTTTGTTTCCTTGGTGTGGACGACAGAAGCAGTAGTTACTTTTTTTAACGCATTTTTAATGCAATGCACACTTTTTTTTCCTAACTCAAATCATATCAAATATACTACATCAATTGAAACTTTGCATTTGCAACATGGAAGCCAATGAAAGGGGTTTATACATAAAGCAATTCATATATAGACAGATATATATATATATATATAGATATAGATATAGATATATACATATATACGTACGTACATATTGTATAACTAAAATGAGCACAATTGAAGTACATTTGTGTCCCAGCTAAATAACTTAAAATATATTTAAAATTAAAAATAAAACTCACAAATTTAGATTCAACAAATATCCATAGTTACATAAAAAAAACCTAACTAAATCCAAGTAACTGCTCAACTTAAGCACTTAAAATAATTCACTTTAATACAGACATTTGACAAAATTGCCAAAGTCGTGTCTAAGCACGTATTACACACACATGCCAAATGTTGCATGCCACAATTTGTTTACAAAAATCAAATACACATTTAAACCAAAATACAAAATCTGTAAGCATAGAAATTATTAAAATGTAATGACCTGGATATGTGTGGGTTGTTGTCTGGGTGTGTGTGTGTGTGTGTATGTGTGTGTGTTGAAGTGCCGCAATTTGCATGCATTGCTCTTGTCGTTTTGTTGATTCGTTTTTGGCGTTTTCACAAATGCTGCAAGAATAAATAAAATAGTTTTAAATACTGAAATCAAAATATGACACTTACAACTAGTCGAACAGGTAACCACATTTAACATTTAGATAAAAATACATTTAAATATTCATCTTTTTGTGTTTTGTGTTTTGTAGTAAGTTTTGTATAAGTCTAACTAGATAAACATACATATAAATATCGCTTGACTGTATCTGTATCTGTGTAAATTCGTATCCGTTCCTCAGTTCAAATTCTTTTTCTAGTCTAGGCCTTCTGAAACCAGCTTAGTTCGCGCCAAAACACAGTATTCCACCATTTTTAATGCATACATAGATGCATGTGTGTTAAAATCCATTTGACAATAAATTCGATTAGACGATTAACATTCAGTAAAATTTTCGAATACAATTTGTATAAAATATTGAAAACATTTTTCATTTAATTATTATATCTTGTACTTGTTGATATAGTTATAACAGTTATAGTTTTGGGTGTGTGCCCGCGTGTGTCTGAGTGTGTGTATACATATATAAACATATATATATATATTAAATAGTAAGATAACTAAGGTAACGATAAATTCTGCTATTTAATTTGAAATCACAACCAGAAATCTATTCTTTACTGTATGGAATATATATATATATGCCGGTTACCCAAAAAATCTGTAAAAATATAACAACTGATAAATTAAATCTATACATACCAAAAATAAAACACATGCCACAATGTTGCATTCCGAATATGTAAAATTACATTTAGGTAAAACAGTTTTATAAATTAATGTCGAAGTGTCCGATTCGTTGTGAATTGTGTGGGAAGTTTGGTTGGTTACAGTAAACATCTAATGGACGTCGTTAATAGCGGCAAATTCTTGCAAACATACAATGTATATAGGATTCTTTTGTTTACGTAATTTAATTATACATTTTCGCATTTATATATAGGTGTATATTTGCATATATATATATATATATATAGAAATGTATGTATGCTCTTAATAGGCTTATAGCCTATTATATACATCAAAGTTCTGCATCGTATCAAAGTCCGCCATGGGAAAATCACTACCACTAAAATTGAAGGAAATATAAAAAGAGTAGAAAAATAAAACCAAAAATTAATAAACAGAATAAAACAATATGCAAACAAGACGCTATTTTTAAAATATACTTATTTAGAATGTGTCAAATGATGTTAGTTGTGTATCAAATGAATAATGTATTTTAGTGAAAAGGAATATCTTGCAAAATGTATGCTAAACAAATGGTTATATTTTAACAATTGTCTGTTGGTGACCCTCCTCTATTTAAATAGCCTTAACAACGCATTCAATATGCGCGCCAATTTAATATTAACAACAACAATAACATCAAGTTTAATTCATGACGCTAACAACAATTACGAATAAACATAAAGAGTTTCATATGAAAGGAAAAGTGCATGCAATAAACTGCTATTTTTTTTAATTCCAATAAAGACCCAAAAATGTTGCTTATTAAAAGCCATTTTTGTTAATATAATTGTATTCATTGTTCTTGTGTTGTTCATTGGCGTTTACAAATGCATGATGGTGCTATTCTGCAAGCTGCGATTATATCAAAAGTTAGAATATAGAATTTCATTAGATATCAATATCAATCTATACATATACATACACAATGTATATGTATAATATGTATATCACATTTGCGTCAGCTGAAAAGCTTAAAAAGATGGCAATACTTTGAAGTGAAAACATTTAGGATAATACAACGAATAGGAATTTTATATATTTAAATATATATAAATGTGAGTCTTAAAAATTGAAACTGAGCGAGCGACCTGATAAGGTTGAGAAGTTAGTACAATGGGCAGCGACAGTGGGCATATCAAATGAATGTGACAAATGTTGCAAGTGGCAAGTGGCAAGTGGCGAGTGGCGATTGGCGTGAGTTTATGTTATGCAGAGGCTCGGGAGGGCGGTGCAATGATGTATATTTTTTTTATTTTTGTTGGGCAGACGAAATGGACGCGCTGTTAAAACCTTGGCTCTTCAACAGACAAATTAACGACTTATTTTGATGCTGTAAATTGCAAACTGAGGACATAGAGCTTTTGTTTTTTGTTTTTTTTGTTTTTTTTTTTGGTTTTTTGTTTTTTGTTTGGTGATATTGATGCGATTGCGATTGGTACATAAATATATAGATAGATATGTAGGTATCAAACAATACCTTTCGGTAAGAGGCACAACTCAAACTAGCTCTCAATTCGATTTCGTGTTTTAATATTGGACCGTTTGATTATAGGGCGATGGTACGGCATATGCTGATTTAGTGGGCATCATCCACTGTGCTTCATGCCCATTGGCGCACACATTCAGTATGGTGTGACTTATCTGACCCAATATGGGATCGTCTGGTGCTGTATTGTTGACATAATTCTCGAGCTCACGCGCCACAGAGCTATCATCTGAATCAGAATCATCCCTGTTATAGGATGTGGTTGCGACGCTCGATGGATTATAAAACATGATGCCACTAGGTGGAGAATAACTGGATAGGTACCACAACACAACAAATTAAAAACGCATAAAAGTAGAAAATGAAAATAAACAAAGAGTAGAGTAAGTTAGAGTTTTTTTTTTACCACTACTGCGTAGCACAATTGTTGTTTTTGTTTTTTATTGTTATTAATATTATATATACTAAATAAACAAAAAACCGAACGAAAAATGAAACACAACAAAACAACATAAACAATAAACGCCAACAAATAATATATATTTATTTAATTGGAACTTTTAAAACGTTTTTCGTATCGCTTTGTTTGGTTTTTTTTTTTTAGTATCCCTCTCGATTTCAAAGTATTGCAATCTAATTAAGCTCTTAAAAATTGGGTTCAAACCAAATAAAGCTAAATATATAAATGTTAAAATACAGTCGAGACTGCACGGAAACTAAAACCCAGCAAGCCAAATGCGAACTGCGGGTTTTTCTTTGGGGTCTTTGGGTACTCAAAACAGAGTAAACAGGAGCAACAGAAATTAAATAAATAAATAATACAAAAAACAAACATTAGGAAGTGGCGTTCAGAGACGCCTCTTGTTGGTTAGAGGTCGGCCATGCAAAACTTACTTTCCCATCGACATACTATCCTGCGGCGGTGACTGCATTGGGTGATGGGGTGTGCCACTTATGGAGCCTGTATCCCCAGTGGTACGCACCTGCACGCGTATCGTGCTTGGCACATATCCATCGACACGGGGCGTTGGTTCTGTGCAGATAAAAAAAAACGTTAAATATTAACGTATGTGTGTGTGTGACAAAGGATACCCATGTTGACTTGCTTGACAATAAAATTAGCATTATAATAATATTTACGTATATGTAATGGAAGTAACAAAACATTGATC